AACGGAAGGGACCAAGAATCATTGTAAATTCCATCCATGCATGAACACACATGGTGTAGTATTTTCTTCTCTTGAGGCTTGTGAATAAGCAACTAGTATGGATTAGTGGGACATATAGATATATGTATACCTTCCTACGAGTTTAGTAAGATGGGTGTGAAGCCTATTAAGTGTTGTTTGGAAATGAAAATTGGAATTGCATTGACAGTGGGTAATTAGTAAGGCAATGGGTTGGATTGTTGGTCACATATTTTAAGAAGGGAAGGTACATGGTTCTGTAGAGGGATGGACGATGTGTTCTAACAAATAAAACAAGTGGAGGTCACGCATGAATTGATGGGATTAATTGATATTACTATATCAACCACGTAAGTTACGTGGGTTTTTTCTTGTGATAGGGAGTTATACAGCTTCTAATGATTAGATAAAGATGATCGAGGCTAGAGGAGACGCCACAAAAATAGACCACATATCGATAGGAAGTTAAGGTGACTGTAAAGTGGGTAAAATCTCCGTCGAGGTCTTTTAGTTTATGCCTTTTTAATTCAGTTATGTTATTTAATTTTCAAGTAAGCGCGATGATGTGTGTGAGGCATCCCACCGCCTACTTAAGGTGGAGGCACGCGTTGTGCTTAGGTATGTATGAATGCATGTTTGTATGGTTGATGGTATGAGGAACCCCCGGGCGGTTGGGCCACTACTGGACGCGGTAGATGGTCGGGTCACTACTGGACGGCAATATGTAACACACTAGTTGACCGGGCATGGACTGGACGGCGATACGTAACGCAGTACCATTGCCTTAAGGATAGGGACACCGGACGGCGATACGTAACGCGGTGAACCCTAATAATAAGTATATAAATTAAGATAGAAGTACAAAACTTCTATAAGCTATCAGAGATTAAAATATTAAAGATGAAAGCGAGAACAGCTTTCATTAGGAGGAAGTAATTTCTAATAATGTGTTGGTAGGGCTTGCTTAGGGAAAGACTTTAGAAAGTAACGACGAGACTGATGGAAGCAAAAAGGGTGGTTTTATGCTAGGTTTCTTGTGTTTCTAGAAACACACGAATTTGTCAGCCAGATCGTCCCAAGAGGTGATGGACAATGGAGGCTGGGTCTCCAACCACCTCTTAGCATTCCCCGCCAGAGAATGGGGGAAGAGATGAAGGCGGATTGCATCATCCAGGACACCATTCAGCTTGAACCCGTTCGTCAGCTGCAGAAAACGGGAAAGATGCACCCTGGCCTCCTCATCCTTCAAGCCATGGAACTGGATAGAGGATGTAATGAGCTGAATCCAGCATGGCTTGATCTCGAAGTTGTTTGCTGGAATAGGCGGGTAGAGGATGACCGGGCGGATGTCAGCAATCCGAGGAGTGTAGTAGTACTCCAAGGTGGGACCCGGCTGCGGTGGATGATGAACTCCATGATCCTGGGGTATGGGGTTGTTCCCCAGGACCTGATTCATCGGGGGAGCCTGCTGAGGATTCCCCTGGTGCTGATTGTAGTCTCCGTCCATCCCGTACTCTTCTTCAGAATCACTACTCAAGTGGCCGTCTAGGCGCTCTTCCGTAGCCAGTCTAGCTCGCTGCTGTCTCCTGAGTTGGCGACAGGTGCGTGGCGGCCGAAGCCGCAGGTTGCTAAGCCTGCACGGAAGAAGCGTGGAGACCACTATGAGCTGGTCCCACCTTCTGCACCACGACCACCCTGGCCGTCCGGGTACTCACTCGCCTGCATCTTGCCAGATGGCCAGGTCGAGCTGACCGATGATGGTGGTCGCATCCGGCGGGTGCATGGCTACAACCTGAAGCTGTACCTCAAGAGCGACGTGGATCCGCTCTTGGAGGCACCTGTTCCTTCACCTCCCTGAGTATCCACCATGGGCGTCCAGCTAAAAGACGGTAAAGAAGCGCTTGTGGGGAGGCAACCCCACCATGGTTTGATTTTCTTTCTTGTGTTTTGAGTCGGATTGTAACTCGGTTTGTGTTTGGTTTGTTTTTCTTTTGGTTTGGATGATGTTTTATTGGGCTGACCATTGGACCTAACATACTGTGTTGAGCTCTTTGGTTTCCTCTCGCTGTGCGTGTCTTGACTGGTCCCCTCTCCAGTCCGCTTCACTCGACTGGCCCGCTTCCAGTCTCCTGCAGTCCATGCATACCGGTAACATCGTTCCCCTTATCCTTCCCTCTTCTCCATTGAGGGCAATGTCGATCTTAAGTGTGGGGGGGGGGGGGTGTTTATCTTTTGACTGCATTAGATCTGTTTGTGTACTTGGAGCCTAGTCCACTGTCCAAATTTTTAAATTTGAGGGCTCCAAGTGCGTGTTTCCTTGCAATTGCCTGCTCAGTATGCTTTGAATTGACAGTCTTTATAGTAATATGCAACCTAGGGAGGGAGTGTAGCACTATGGAGGATGTTGATGCATTTAAGAAATCTCATTTCTTCTTCATATTGTGTTGGTTGATTGAGTGAATTAGTGATCTTAGAACCCTTGAATTGTGTGATGTTGTGGATTTTCTACCTGTCATGGACTCTTGTGTCATGTTTTGAAAATAACAGGTGCTCGAAAATGTGCTTCCATATAAACGTCTCCCGTGCGAATAGGGCGAAAGTGTGTAAGGGGATACGGGAATTCGTTTCCAATTTCCACCTACTACCTCCAGTCCCCTTACATGCCTTTCCCCCGCACGAGGCTCGAGACATCTGCTCCTGGCATGGCCGGTAAGAGCAGGTTGGGACCCTTGAAAAAGAAAAGAAAAGAAAAATATCAGAAAACAAGCAAAACAGGAAAAAAAAGGGGTTCCTACCATCTTTAAGCAGAAAATAGAGCACCTTGAAAAATGTGAGTCCATGGTCTTTTGTTTTTGAGAATCTCTCCATCCACAATTCATTTGTCCTCTGTTCACTATTTGCCATGATGCCGACTCGATACTAGTGCTCTCGCCGAAGAAGCTATGAGATGACTTGTGCCTCGGTTGACCTCATAAGTTGCTAAATGATCTAGGAAGTCCTCTACCTACGATCTGGGTTGTTTATTGCTATAGAGGTCTGGAGAGTTGCATTGGTTTGAGTTAGGTTTGCTTGGGGACAAGCAAACGGTTAAGTGTGGGGGAGTTTGATAACGATGTAATTGCACATGTTTGCGCCCCTAGTTCTTATCCGTTTGAGGGGCATAGTCGTGTGTTTTGGCCTATTTTACGCCGAGTTGTGCTATTTTGTCATATTTCAGGTCCCAGGCGTCAAAGGGAAGGCTAACCACGAGTTTCGGGGCATTCGGAGGTCATTTTGTCAAGCTGGGGCCAAAACACGGGCACACCTAAGGCATTACACGGCCGTGTTCCTGTGGCCGTGCTTTTTATGCCGAGAGCTGAGCTGATTACACGGGCAGGGCCGAGACAAAGCACGGCCGTGTTCAAGCATTACACGGCCGTATCCAACGCGAAGCACGGCCGTGTTTCTTCCCAACTGCTGGCCGTGTAATTAACCTTGGCCGAGACACGGGCGGACTCAGGCAAAGCACGGCCGTGTCCTCGACCGTGCTTTGGTCACTGATGCTTTTAAGCAGATTTTCAGCCACAAGTCAAGGGGATTGGAGTTTTAGAGAAAGAGATCAGTTCCTAGAGAGAGAAAGCGACGAACAAGAGTTCCCAAGCGCCCTAGCTTGATCTTCAACACCATTGGAGGCCAGTTTGAGCTTGGAGAAGTGCCGATCAACGTCCAGGAGCAGGAATCCATCCTTCACAGTATGAATTCCGCGTCTGATTCTGCTTTTGCTTTCTTCTCCATGGAGTAGTTCTCCCATTCATCTGGGTATGGAGAACCCTAGATTTGTATGTTAGGTTTGATTGTATGAACCCAAGTACTGATTCTATGATTGATTATATTCGATTGAGGTTTTAATGATTGAATGACTTGAATCCTGATCAAATTCCTGTTGTTTCTGCTTTAACCTAGAATGAGAATATCTGCCTAGGTTAATAGAGTATCCTTGATTGAAGGTAGGGAGTTGGTGACTTTAGTCGAGGAACCAACTCACTATTCTGTATCGGATTTACTCCGGTAGTGGAGGTTTCGTTCTTAGGGCCTCAATCTGTCTACTCCGATGGAGGTTAGTCGCCCGCTAGAGATTCAGATTGAGAGGGTGTGAAGGCCTTTAGTCGAGACTTCAGGCTGTTTAAGAACCTTCCGCAGTATAACTTTCATAGAAACTGAACTTGGTAATTACAATCCGGCTTAACTGCAGTCTGGGGGGAACCATATCCGGGTGACCTCTTTAACCTGAATACAACCGTTTACTTGCTTTGTTAGTTTGATAGTTTAGACTTGCATTCCAGTTTCATTGCTAGATAACAAGAATTCACTGAGTAGTCATCAGATCTAGGACCCGGGTTGACATATAAACCTAACCCGCTATACTACGCTTTAGGAAGTGGTTACACTTGGCTAATTCCTAGGGTGACAGTAGAGTCGATTCACTTACGTTGTGGAGAACCTAATTGCTCTATTGATCCATGAAGATTACTTAGTTCAAGGCATAAGCTAACTTCTATACTATCTCTTGGAGCACCTTGACTCGCATTCATACTAAGACTTACGAATTCATGCTTTGGCTAACCCGAATTCACCATTGAGCTACCTAGAATACTTAGTTCAGGGCATAAACTAGCTTCTGGAGTTTCCATCAATGGATTATTCGTAGACTTCTCTTCTGTTTCTTTGATTTATAGTTCAATCTATCTATTGTTTCCCTAAGCATCTAAGCTTATGGATCCTCATATCTATAGTTAACGCTCGAAATCAGGAATTAAAACAAATTCAGATTAAGAGATGATTACCTCGATCGAAAGCTTTTGGAACTTCCGGGGGTGAATTGTTCCAATTCTGTAAGCAGACTCTGCTGTGACGCTGAGGAAAACCCTAGATTCGAGTCCGCACCCAAATCGTCTGCAACACCCACGTTTCTTATTCTTCTTCTTTTCATCGTCATCTCCAGCATGATTCTTCGTACGACATTCTTCCCTTACTCCGCCATCGATGAGTCCCTCCGATTGCTGCTCCTGGTCCTAAGAGATCGACAGGATGTTGGAAGAAGCTTGCTCCGGTGTGGGGAAGACTTCGTTATAAGAGATACTTCTGGAGGAGAATTCAGGAGGCGTGATAAAGTGTTAGAAGTTGTACTCTTCAGTTGGATTCTGATTCACCTCGTCGCTGCTATCAACGTTTTGCGTCGTTATCTCGGCGGGTTCCACGAATGTGCGCCGACTTCAGAGTCTTAATCGGAGCGGGGAAAGTGGAGTTGCAATTCCTGAGAGACCGAATCCTGCATAGCTGCTCCAAAGAAGCGAAGGGGTCGTTTAGTTAAATTTTGGGAGAGGGAATTTAAATTTTATGAAGTTGCCAGAGCAATTGAAGGGTAGCTGCATTTTTGTACTTTGTATAGGGACGGAAGAAAGAAGGGACATTTTGACTTGAAAAAAAAATATATGGTTTCAAAAAAATTATTTTAAATTGATCGTATAGTTTTTCGTCCTTTTTTTTTTTTTTTTTTATAGGAAACCTGGATACTTGTATTAAGGATATTAGTTTCGGCCCAAATAGCCATGGCCCAAATCAGCCTCTAACAACGAACAGAGCAACGAAGGGGGGTTATTAGCCCAGACAATCAGTTGGTTCCAACCTAAACCAGTATGAGCCAACCAGTGAGCAATAGTGTTATTCTTCCTCGAAGCAAAACACCATCGAACCTCAACCCCCACCAGAGATTCATTTGCCCTGGCCAACTTTCTCAGCTCGTCACACCAAACCCCAAGCTCAGTGAAATCTTCACTTCCATTCTTCATCTTATTCACAAGCACCTGGCAGTCCGATTCAACAATCAGGGGACCGATTTCCCTACGATTGGCCTCCTTTAAGCCCAGAATCAGGGCTTTCGCCTCTCCTTCGATTGGGCGAAAAACACCCCGTTCCTTCTTCGCCAAAGCCCCCACGAATTCACCCCTGCAATCGCGAATAATACAGCCCATACCCAAACCTTGGTTCTGGATAATCCCTGCATCAGCGTTTAATTTATATGAGCCGACCGGAGGAGGGATCCAGTGGTGCGAAGCCTGGGGTCGATGCCGAGGAGTGCTAGCTAAAGAGCATGAAACAGGCGAGGTATTAGCAGCTTGATAAGAAGAGATCCAGGCCAGCGCTTTCGGGATAATCTCATCCTCCTCCAGCTTTCGGTTATTAAACTTATGATTGCATGTTTCTGTTTTGTATCGATAGCGGGAGGTGGCAAGAATAATCCGATCGGGGAGTAAGGAAGGCAGTAAATGTAAAATCTAGTATGTCTTTGGGTCGGGGCCCAACGTAGTTGAGTGACCTGCTAATTCTCTTCATCTGTTCCTATTGCTGGCTCTCTGGACGTGAACCTGGCCCATGCTACTCATCTTTTATCCTCATCTTTATCTTTGTCAATTTCTCAAACTTGGCAGTTGCCACTCAACAAATTTTGATTAACCAATAACATGAATTAACTAAATATTCATTTTCAGGTAGATAATACTATATGTAAACATTTTTTTTACACTTCCTAAAGGTTCAGAATGACAATCCATCAGTCGGTTAAAGTAAAATTTTTTTGCGATTTTATATGTTCATACTATTCTCTCGAAACTGTTATTATGTACAAAATTATTGGTATATTCTATAAACGAACAAGAAATAAGGTTTAATGAAAGGCCTCTAAAGTTTGAATGGTTGAACTAGCAATTCTCACAATCACAAAACTAGCAACAACTACAAATATATCCCAACCGCAATATTTACAATAAGAACAAGAACAAAACCTTTTTCTTTCTTTTTCTTAGTTGAAGGGGAACTGTTTTCTTCCCTTTGCTAAACACACTAACTTATAACCCGACCCGTTGGCTGGAGGTAGGTTAGTCAATAATTCTTCATGGCATCTCTAATACTCAGCAAGGACAATTAGTGATGATAATTTGAACCTGCCATGTGAGTATTACCTGACCTGGCCCGCAATAGGGCGGGTATTACTCGACCCGCAATAGGGTGGGTGGGACATGGATATCAACTTCCAACCCACTCTACCCCATCCCGCCCCATTCTACTCAACATTTTACAGTATTTATACATATATCTCTTATGGGGCTGTTTAGGAATGTCGGTTTTTGGAATTAACTAAGTCTTTCTGTTTTAATCCTTTGAGGCTTCCTTTCTTAAATTTCCATCACATAGGAAGACAAATTAAACGTAATCATTGTTAAAAATATAAATTCTACGAAGAAAATGTTCTGATATCCAAGCGAGATTGCTCTTATCGATTATGCACTACAATACAATTGTTGTTATTCAATTTGGTTGACTTTTTGGTAAATATTGACACACAATTATTATATTATTGAACATGTATTATAACTCACCATATATTTCACTGGTGAGTGTAGCGTGTTCCTGAAGCAAGCTTGCAAAGAACTGTTTGTTTAACGTGTGCCTGAGGTAAATGAAAATATACTTGAATAGGAGTGTTGTGTGATTAGTTCTATATTCAATCTGGAGAGTTACTCGATGCAGGCGAGACAATAAGCGAAAATATGCTTATGTTTTATGTTTACACCAGTAGTGTGATTCTCCTCATATGTGTTACCAAAGAGATCAATAGTCGAGGGGTTTCTTGGGTTGAAAGTAATGCAAATGCAGCCCAGCTTGACTCAGTATGCAGGTTCATTTTCTAGGTCAGTTGTTAGCAATGCGAGGGGCAAAAACTGGCTTATCCAAAATTATTACTGGGAGATTATGGGTTGTGCTCTTTTATTCTTGACTCCATTATTTGAGTTCATACCACATCCACCCTGACTCACCCAACCCACCCCATATTTTTTTTTATAGCTATGGCTTCATATTATTAGGAAAAAGTTAAAAGTACGTTTCAAAACAGGGAAAGGAAATTAAGCTGGGTTGTGTCAAGAACAACTACCACTTGTGTAAGAAAATAAACCTTCCACTAGGGACAAAAATTGAAACACATTTGCCTGGTACTGTTTCGACCCTCTCTCTAATATTGCAGCCTATTCGTGATCCTCCAAGTCAGCTCCCAAAACTCTATTGCCTCAAGCCTCCTCCCCAATTATCAGACACAACCCTTACGCTTTAAGTGACTGATGGAACAACAGGGTGGTAATTTTTTCATCACTGTTTCATCCATTGGCAGGTGTATAATTAGTTTGAGAGTAGCTCAACTAGGCCATTCCACATCTCCTATTGCAAAGTAGGAAGGAAAAGTGATGGTTTCAGTGAAAAAACACAAATGAGCTTGGAAAGCCTGTGGTGAAAACAATGCATTAGAGTTTGAAGCTTTACATTGATCCATATTAGGCTGGGGTAGAGGACTATACTCGAGCTTGGAAAGCCTGGGAAAGAGTATTCGAGGAGGTACCCACGTTGCTCTCCAGTTTCTTTATCTACAGCAAATCCCTTTAAGAAGATAAAGCCAGACATTGAACGATTGTATTCAGGTCATCGAATAAGGTTCTGTGAGATTTGGATGGTGATATTCAATGCAATATTAGTTAATCAAGATGCGATAGAGGAATGAAAAGATGTTTGGAGTATGCAGCTAAAAATTTTCCTTGTCAATTGCATGGTTAAATCACGGTGTCGATTTGGATGAAGTTTGTAATCACAAAGGGGTGTCAATAAAAGATTTCATTATGCATTCAGTTCCATTAGTTGCTCATTGACTCTGGTTCTGAGTTTCCTTCCTGAAAATAATTGATCACAAATAGGTGTCAATGGTAGATTTCATTATGCATTCATTTTCATCAGTAGGTTATAGAAAGAACAAACAAACTGAGATGTATAATGTAAAGAGAGAAATAAAACTTATAGACAGGGCAAAGCCACCCTCCCCTAGCTTATTGGATTCAGAAAAGTTGTTTGTGTCAGACTAGGAGAGCTGAGCTAAGGATAGTGAAGCTTGCAATGAACCTTGTTGCTATGTGAAGTAGCAAATTGAAATATAGCTCATAATAACAACATACAAAAGAGTGTGTTCAGAGGAGCATGACCGCAAGAAAAGAGCACTTAAAATGCACCAAGCATAAAAAAAACCAATACAATACGGCACCATGACACGCTACGATACAACTCCTCACAATGGCAAGGTGTAACCAATAGAAGGGACTGCAGTATAGTGGCTCAAGTAATAAATATCGAATCCACGGGTCTCTAGAGTTACTATTACTTAGCTTCAGTTCATTATCTAGCAAACCAGATTAAGATGAAAGAAATAAAAATACTCTAGCAAACTACAGTTAAAGTTAATCTAATTACAGGTTGGGAACTCACTTAGGTATGATTCCCCCTAGCCACTAGCCAGACTAACGATTGATAATTTCTAACTTGTTTCACTTTCATTCACAATGCGGAGAATCCTTGACTAGACCTTGACTCTCGACTAAAAGAACAAGGCCCTATTGAGTCAATTGCCTAGAGGGATGTATCCTTCTCTAGAACAACCAATCAAGGCGTTCTGAGCTAGATTCCCTCTATCAAAAGAGGTTCTCAATCGATACAAAGCAGTGAACCAACCCTCGACTAAAGCAATCGATCCACTACTATCAATCTATGGTGCTCTATTGACCTAATCAGGTATTCGCTCTCATAGGATCAAAGCAGAATAAATAATCTCGACTAAAGCAACATTGAATCATGCAAACATGCATAGATTGAATATGAACTCAAGATTATCAAGTCAGAGTACTCATACAATCATCCAATCAAAAAAACATAGCTAGGGTTCCTCAAAACCTAAGTGAAGGGAAGTTACTCCATAGAGAAGAGAGAGACTGCAGTAAGAATCTTCAGATGATCAGTCTTCAAGTCCGGGCTTGTTCCTCGAGCTTCCCAGGCGAAGAAATCCTCCAGTTCCACTCCAACAATGCCCTCAAATCGCCCTCCCTCTCTTTGGTTCGTCCCTTGGGTGTTTGGGATCCAAAATCCAGCTCTCCCTCTCCTTTGGCTCGAATTTGGGTTAAAACCCAGAATTTCCCGACTCACACGAGTGAATGAAATTAAGGGGGGTCGGAAGCTCTATCCGTGCCCTTAAAAAGACATCCTCAAGTAGGCAAACCGTTCAACGAGTGGAAGTTTTACTTTTACTAGAGACGGCTTAGCTTCACCTTGTAGGAGTACCCCACTAAGGATCACTAAAATCTCTTCCAAAACCCGATCTTGTGCAATGAACGGTGCCGCACACGTTAGGCTTACCCCA